ATAAGTCTAAAGCTAGTTAGTTTAACTATACTACTAGTATATTAGTATCGGTTTCTAGTATAAAACGAATCCTATATAGCTAGTACTATAGCTTCTTAAATATCTTTAATACTCCGTAATATTCTAATTTTCCTATATTATAGATCTACTTAGCTTTAGACTATACTCTAGACTTATACTACGTAACTTATTATACTCCATCTCTCTTCTATATTAAAATAGCTTCCTATCTAATCTTAGATATATCTACTATAATAATTAGATCTAATGGATCCTAGCTATAGTTAACTAGTATAACTATTAGAAAACTATATAGTATCTTCTTAATTTTATTAAAGATAATCTATTTAGCTTCCTCCTACTTAAATATCGAATCCTTCTATAGGATCGTATATAATAGCGTTATTATATACTAAAAATCTCTTACTAGGATCCAAAAGTAGACCGTAAGTCTAATAAAAGAGTATACCTTATCGCGATTTATCGGAATAGGCTAGTTAGTAAGCTTAGAAATCTTCCGCTTATCCGGTCTATACCTATTTATATTATATATCTAACTAATAATTTCTAGTCCTAATATCGCTAGCTACGATTTTTCTATAGATACTCTAGCTCCTACGAGTTCTAAAAGATATAGGATCTTATCTAGATTTTATATATATTCTAGGATAAATTTACGGATTCCTAGTCTTATAAACTTATCCCTATACCGAGATTTAGGACCTTTAACTAGTATATTATCTATAAATAGTTTTTTAATATATAAAACTTTAGCGAGAATCTATAAGACTACTCTTTAGAATTAGAATACTAAATTCGAAGCTTCCTATAGTAAAATAGTCTATCTCAGTAGACTAATTAGTATCTAGATTATAGTTATATTTCGGTCGCGACTATCTAAGATTATCTAATTATATGTAGAAAATAGATTAATAGCCGAAGATATCGCTATTCCTATAAATTCTTTAATAAACTTATCTATATCTAGTAGTATATTTATATTATATATTATTACTTTATTAATATATATTATAGTATTAACTAGTCTATACTTTTTATTCTTCTTATATACTAAGACTAAGGATTTTAGTAGGGACTATTATAATCCTAGAGGTATAGCCGTATCGAAATACGGATATAGGATCATCTGACTATATATACCGTTATATAACGGACCATTCTATCGAATGGTTTAGCATAGACCTTTTGGTCTAATAGTAATACCATATAAGTAACGGCACAGGTGATTCCATTAAACTATTTGATAACTGAGCTCGTGAGGTTACGGGTTCGAATCGCGGTGCGTACGCTTTCCGAATTCCTCTTATCTTATCGTGCCGCTTAATCGATAAGATAAGATACTCTGTATACTCGGTAAGGAACGTATTACTAAGCTAATACCGCTTAATTCGGCTTAGTAAGGCGTAGCTTTAGAGGTTATATATAGTTATACGCTAGCGGAACCCTCCGGGAACCTACTCTGAAGCTAGGCCGTACTAATAAGACCTAGGTAGGTTAACTAATTAGCCGACTAAAAATTAGGTAATCACGAGGACGTGATTTAGACTTAGTAGGGGAGGATATAATCCTAGAGGTATAGCTATATCGAAATACGGATACGGGATTATCTAACTATATATACCGTTATATAACGAACCATTCTATCGAATAGTTTAGTATAGACCTTTTGGTCTAATAGTAATACTATATAAGTAACGGCACGGGTGATTCTACTATTATAATATTTAAGAACTTCCTTTTAAAGTCTTTCTTATAGTATCTCTTTAACTATCTCTTTTAGGGTAAGTAGAATATAAAATCTAGGATATTACTATATCTTATATAGAATTATCTTAATATATTAAGATAGTATTATCTCCGGAAAAATTAGAGATATATATAACTAATCCTATATAAAATATCCTTTCTTTTTAAATAATATTTTATATAGTAACTTCCTCTTTTTGTAGTAAGAGATTCTTACTAATTAATATCTTTTCTTCTCTCTCTAGCGTTAAGTAAGCACCTCTTATAATTATAGAGATCCGTAGAATTAGTAGATTATCAAACTCTATCCGGATATTAGAAGTATAATACTTAGTAAAATATCTCTTTTCGTAGATTTCTTTCTAATTTATATATTCTATAGATACCGAGCTATTATTTTTCGTCTTATTAACTAGTTTAATTTTATCTATAACTCTTTTAAATAGAGTATAAATAGATATACTCCTTATAGAGGAACTAAACCTTAAGTTTATAGCTAAAAGATATCTTAGTCGTAGAAAACTCTTTAGAATATCCTATAGCTACTAGCAAGGAATTTTATAATAATAGCTAAACCGATACTTATCTATAGTTAGAGATATTTTTATAGATTTATTATTTTCGAATATTTTTAGTAATTTTAGCGGATATTTTAAAAACGTAGTTAAAATATATAGTAAGTTATAGGGAAATTTCGGTATTTTAATCTTAGAAATATTACTAATTATATCTCCTAATATCCTAAAAAATTTATCTTTATATCTATAGACTCTATAAAATCTTTAGGCTAAAGCTAATATTCCTAAACTAAGGTCTTCTCGCTTAGAGAGTAGGCCTTAAATATTAATTTTCGCGCTCGATCTTCTAAAAAGATAACTATTTTAATAGATCTATTAGCTTTCTCTATAGTAGAGACTATTATATCGCGTAGCTAGATCTATCCTAGAAGTAGCTCGGCTATATAATCCTTTATAATTATATAGTAAGAATATATAGTAATATTACTAATCGAGATAGATAAATCCTCTATTACTCTATAAAATAGATATATTTAGCTATTAATAGGTACTATATAGAGCTTTAGATCTTTTCGGATACTAAGATCTAGTATTTAAGCTATTTCTAAGAAAATAAGATTAACTAAAGATCTCTAATTAATTATAGCTTCTAATTTATAGTCTTATATATATATCTTCGTACGTAAAAGTCCTCTAGTATACTCCTTAGCTATACCTAAATTTCGCGGCGCTATAACTCTTACCGATCTTCTTAGATCTTATACTTACGCGTTTACTTTATCTACTTTTATAGTCTACTAAGTACTAGCGAGGTATATAGCTATAGCAGAATTCGTAGTAGTTACTAGTAAATTTATAGTAGTTACTAGTACTAAAGATTTAAAAGAATTCGTAAAGTTCCTAACTTAACTATATAATTATAGTAATATAAATGTTAGATCTCCTATAGTAATTATAGGTAGTATAGGAATAGCTAGTAATTTTCTAGTAATTTCTTCCTTATATTAAGTAGTAGTATCTATAGAAGGTTTAGGATATTTCTAGATTATTACCGAATTTCTAGGACTAGGCTAGCGGATAGGTATCGAAGATCTTATATCTTAACTATTCTTCTAGTTCTAACTATCTTAGCTACGGATTTCTTCTATAGAAGAAATTTAGGAAGAGATTATTCCTATATCTACTATTTATAACTCCTAGGTAGTATAGCTATATAAACCTATATATAGAAGGAAGAAGGTAAAGTAACTATATCCTATATAATAAGGAAACTAAGACGAAGAGGAAAAAGGAAAGGAAGAAATAAGAAAGACAAAGTACTACCTTAAATACTTATCGTAGGCGGACTATAGGAAAATAGTAGAATCCTCCTAGAAAGTCCTAGATAGAAGATTCCTCTATAGAAGTGAATAGAAATATAAATAATCCTTAGACTCTAGTATATATATACGCGTAAGACTCTAACTATTAATAATATATAGATATCTATCTAATCTTATAAATATAATATTAGTTATATAATCTCCTTCTCGATACTCTAAGTCTATCTCTATTAACTAGCTAACCGATCTACTAGTTAATATAGTTTATAGTAACTAACTAGTTAACTCCTCTAACTAACTCCGCTCTCTAAGTTCGCTCTCGAACTAGTTAACTAACTCGCTAGTTAACTCTTAACTTTTATCTATATATTATATTATCTCCTATTTAGACTCGTAACTATCCTTAGGTATAGTAATATTATAGTATATTATTATCTATATACGCTAGCGGCTTCTTATTAAGAGCTTTATACTATAACTAATAGTTAAGATTTACTTATTACGCGGTGCCTACTAGTCACTATGAGTAGAGCTGCCCTAGGGTTATACTTACCTAGTTCTACTACGGATTCCTAGAGTATCTCGTAACCGTACCGTTACTATGCTAAGCCTTATACAGACTTAGGTCCTATTAAGTATCTTATAGAATATACTAGTAGTACGCGCTAAGTAAGTTAGTTACTTAGTATAGGATACTAAGTAAGCTCCCCTACTTATAGGTTGAGTTGTCTTGAAGGTAAACTATGAAGTGTAAGGTACTACTAGTAGTAACTAAGTAATAATATGAGATTAATCGCGAAGAACTAAATATATAATAGTAAATAAGTATCCTTATATATCTAGTCCTTCCTATCGTGCGATAAGACTAGGACTTATCGGTTACTAGGATCCGATCCTATTAGTTAATAAGTCCTCTCCTTGTAGTCCTATTGTGGGATAGGATTAGTTACGTGACGAGTTAGTCCTTCGTATCGGTACGGAGGTCCTTCGTAACGTTACGGAGTCTCTCGTAACGTTACTCCTACTGACTGATCTAAGTTAGTTAGTTATTAGTAACCCCTCCCCCGTATTAGCGTGTTGCGCCTAAGAGTCTCGTAATATCATCCCCTCCTTTCGTAGGTCTTTGTCCTTAAAGATCGTTTAAATAGTGTATTCCCTCCGTCGAGTGTGCTTTATGAGATTCCCTTTCCCCTTATCCCCTTTTCCTACACTAACCATGTCTTCTAAGGCGTCTGTTCGTAAGAACGCCTTGACTCGTTGTATCGAGGACGAGGGTTTCTAGTCTGTGGTTCCTTGCGACTGCTGCGTTCGCCTTTAATGGGTGTGTATTCGTGCCGACTGCTCTGATCGTTGTAGCGATTGCGTTCGAGCCGGTGGTGGTGCGAAGTGCGCCATGTCGAACCCGTCGTTTACCGATGCTGAATGGCGGCGGTTGGTGAAGTCCTAAAATTCTTTGGAGGAAGAGGAGGAGGCTATCCTATAATAGTAATAGTTGATCTTAGTAAAGTTAGCTCGCCTCCGGAAACAAAAACGGTTGTTGCAAAAGCGTGCTGGTGATTTCATTACTCGGGATTATAAGGAGGTTGCTGAGCTCGAAGAGCTTGAGCGTCGCGAAGCTAAAGAGAGCGAGCGTCTTGAAAAAGAGCGTACTACATCTAAGTAAAAAGAGTGTGTAGTAGAGAGTACTCGGGCTACGGGCGAGGTTCCTTAATCTGCTGCCTTAGGTAATAGCCCTATCCTTATAGCGACGTTAGAGAATCCTACTCTGACTTAGTTACTAAATAATCCGTTGTTCGACTAGGCCGGCCTCGAAACTTCCTTATTCGGTGGCGCCGTAGAGAGTTCTCCCTCTCCTGCTAGTGGAACCGTCGAACTAGCTAGTGGTAGCCTATTAGGTTCTCGATAGGTTCCTATATATTTTCCGAGGTATTATACCCCTTCTATTTCACGAGGTAGTAAGGCTATCCGCTAATTTTTTCCGTTACTAGGATTATCTTAACCTTATATTCGTTTTCCGTTTCTTCTTCGATTTCGATATTAGTAGCGATTTCGGCGTTCTTAGGTACTTTCTCTAATAATAAGATATAAAATATTATATAGATACGTTATATACTATTTGGTAGTTTTAAGCGATAATTAACTAGTCCTAATTTTTCTTCGATTTCGAATAGTCTAAGTTTAAGATAATTGAGTTTTACGCTAGGTCGTCTAGTACGAATATTACGTCGTAAAAGGTAAACTTTCTCCCCCTTTTTAAAGTCTAGCGCCTCCTAGCGCGATTAGTCGTAGTAGTACTTTATATATAAGTTAAGAAACTCGATATCCCTTAATAGCTAAAGATATAGCTATTTTATCCTATTAGCTAGCAGTCTGGATAATTCTGCTACTAAGTATTCGCTAATCGGTTCTCCGACGATTATAGGGTTAAGCCTATAATTCGTAAAGAATAGCGTTTCCTTAGTTATCGTGTATATTACGTTATTATACGCGAACTATACGATTAGTAATAGTCCTATCTAGTTATCTTACTAGAAATTTATATAGTATTATAGATACTATTCTAGAGTCTAGTTAACTCGTTCTATTTATCTATTAGTCTATAGGTAGTAGGCTATAAAGAGTCTATACTTAATACCTATTAGATCCGCGAATAACTACTATATATTAGATATAAATAGCTTATCTCTGTCCGAGGTAATCTTACTCGGTATTCTATGGTTTGTAAATATATATCTAAGTAATAGGTTTACTATAGCTCTAGTATTAATTTTCTCTGTTATAGGGATTATATATACGTATTTAGTAAGTCGGTCCACGACTACTATAATTATATCGTTACCTTCTAAGATTAGTAGTTTAGTGATAAAATCTATAGTAATCTATTCCTATAGGCGAATAGGTATTTCTGATATTCTTATCTCTCTGTATAGTATATATCGTGCTAGCTTATTTTGTTAGTACGAGTCGTATTATCGAATATAGTTTTTAACTTTTCTATATATACTCGGAATATAGTAATTTCGTGATATTTTTTCTATTATTTTTTTAATTCCGAAATATCCTTATATCGGTTTATCGTAGTATAATTTAATAATTTCGTTCTGAAGGCTCCTAGGAATATATACTAACCTATAGACTAGGACTAAGCTAGTATTATTCTAGGTTATATATCCTTTCTATAGCCCGCTTTATAGGATTCGCTAAATTACTTTATCTCCTATTATAGCTTCTTTAATTCGTTCGAGCTATCCGTTATCTTATAGCTCGCTAGTTACCGCAAGAATTTAGTAGTTATAGACGATATCTCCTTCGCTATTTATTATAAGGATAGTAGGCGCTACTTCCTTAGTTCCGATTTCGTAATCCGGTCGTCGACTAAGTACGTCCGTAACTACGTTTTCTGTGTCCTTATAGTAGATAATCTTAAAATCGTATTACGCTAGGGTCTCTACCTATCTAGCTTATCGTCGAGTGAGTTTCTTTATTATAGTAAAGTAAGTAAGATTATAGTAATCCGTTCTAACGGTTATAGTATATTTTACTCCTTCTAGGTAGGCTCGCTAGACTTAGAATACCGATACTATAGCTAGTAGTTCCTTATCGTGAATATTATAGTTAAGCTCTACTAGGATTATTTTTCGAGACTAGAAGACGATAGGTCTAAGCTTACCGTCTTCCCCTAGTTATATAAGCTATACTCCGAGTATAAAGTCCGATACGTCGGTTTCTATAATAATTAGTACGTTATAATTAAAGATTACGATAATCGATTTCCCTAACTATTATCGATATAGGTTCTTAAGTCCTTAGAACACTTATTCCGCCTCGTTATCCTATTTAAACGGTACTCCCTTTTTAGTAAATCGGTAGAGTCCTAATATATACTTCGAATATTAAGGTATAAGTTTACGGTAGTAGTTAGCTAGTCCGAGGAAGCTCTAGACGTCCTTAATATATATCGGGGTCGGCTAGTCGAGGATAGCTTTGACCTTATTATCCTCTATACCTAATCCGTCCGGGCTAATAGTATATCCTAGGAAGCTTATTTCCTAGACGTAGAACTTATATTTCTTAAGTTTAAGAGTAATCTTAGCCTCTTTTAGCTTCTATAGTACTTTCTTATTATACTTAACGTATTCGGCCTTAGTTTTGGAGAATATAAGGATATTATCGAGATACACGATAACGAAGATATCGAGGTATTCTTCTAGAACGGTAAAGATAAAGCGTTAAAACGATACCGGTATATTCGTGAGTCTAAACGGTATAACTAAGTACTCGAAGTATCCGTACTTTATTCTAAAGGCCGTTTTCTATTTATCTCCTTTCTTAATCCGGAGTCGATTATACGCGTTAGTAATATCGTATTTAGTAAAGAACTTTGTATCTTAAATAATATCTTAGATTTCGTTAATTAACGGTAACGGGTGTCGATCCTTAATAGTAATAGAGTTAAGGTATCGATAGTCTACGTATAGCCTTAGACTCTTATCCTTTTTCGGTATAAAAATAATTAGGTATCCTACCGGTAATATCGATTTTCTGATATTTCCTTTCTTTAGGTTTTCTTCGATATATTCTTTTAGTATCTCGGATTCTAGTCGCGAGAGCTAGTAAATTAGCTTAAAGGTTAGTTTCTCCCCTTCCTTAATCTTAATCTTATAGTCGAACGGGCTATATTCTAGTAGCTTACCATCCGGTAGTAGCGTAAATATATCCTAGAATTCGGCGTATTCCTTAGGGATCGTATATTCTTCCTCTAGTATATCTATTATATAGAGGGTTTTCTTATTATAGTCGATAAGGACGTAGTCCCTTAGTTCGTCGTCGGTTATATCCGCTTACTATTCTATAGTAGCGATAACGCTAATATCGACTATATCTCTCCTATTATTAGGCCTACCTCCTAGCCGAAAACTCCTCTTAAGTTCGCCTTCGTAAGGGTTTCTATAAGTACCTACTTCCCCGGAGCTAGGTCTCTTTAGCGTATTAAGTTCGCTCTTTCCGGTCTATTTCTCGCTCGTCTATCGACACGAGTATCTATCGAAGACTATATTTCCCGCTTACTAGTTAATATTTATATTATACTTACGTAGCTATAGTACTCCCAGTACCATATTATATTCTCCGAGGTTCGTGATGTTAAAATTAATAACCTCGAAGTAGTCTCCGATAACTATTAGTAAGGGTCCGCTCTCGTATATGATTCCTGGTCCGAGGCTCTCTCTGTTAAGGCCTATAATCGGTTATAGTCGTGGCTTCTCTACGTCTTTAATCGAGTAGCGTATTCGATAACGTAGGCTTATGAAATTCCCTACTACTCCTAAGTCGATTATTACTAAGGTTAGTCGAAGTATAATATTAGCAGTGACTCTTAAGTATCGTCCCTACGCTATCGCTACGAGGTGTTATCTTTCTGTGTTTATCCTCTGGTTTCCGTACTAGAGTCCCGCGTACTCCGGTTTCTAATTAGGTTTCTTTTCCTAGCATAGCGGCTTTGGCTCTAGGCCGTAGTTAAGCTTTCCTTAGTAGTGGATTATATAGTCATTATCGTAATATCCGGCTATGGCTCTAAGGCCATGTTCGGGGTGTCGTATATATCCCTAGCATAAGCATCGTGTGTTTTTACACGGATACTACTCACTGTCCTGTCGTCGTTATACTTGGTATATCTCGTTGGCTAAGTAGTACTTCTAGGGGTTCTCTTAAGGCTGTTTAGGTTCGGCCGTTCCCGGGAGCGTAGGTAGAGTTTCTAGGATCTCCGGTGTTCCTAGGATTTCAACTAGTGTTTCCAGGATCGCTTCGCCCGCGTTCTAGGAACCGTCCGATAGTTCCTGGGAGTCGATGGTGTTCTAGGGACCGTACTGGGTCTATCCTTGACTCTCGATGTTTTCCCAATCAATCTCTGGGAATTCTTCCATCGCGTGCTCTGCGCTGTTTAGGCCGCGGTATTCGATATCGTTTACGACGGTACCGACGCTATTTCCCTTCGTGGCTTGTTGTATGGCTTTCGCTCGGCCCTCGTAGGCCGACTGAATCTCGTCTTAGCTCAGGGTCCATCCTTCCTGGGTGGCCCTTAGATGCTGGGGCCGAACCTCGTTGCCTTAGGTTGCCCGTAACTGCTGTGGCCTTGCGTTGTCGTGCCGGCTCTTGCACTCACGCGCCCGGTGTCCTGGCTTGCCGCAATTGAAGCACAGGTTGTTGTCCTTTCTTCTTTTCTGTTCTTCTGCGGGGAGTCTCGCTGCATCGAGCTCCATAGGTCGTGGTCCGTAGGGGTCGCTGTACGACTCCCTCGGTTGGTGTCGTTACTGCCCTCGCCTGCCCTCGTAGCGGCGGTATTGGTGTGGTGCCGGTCATCGGCTACCTCCCTGTCGGAGTTCTCGTCGTTGGAGCTTCCTTTTATAGAGTCGGTTGTCGAACTTGACCGCGAGCTCAATTATCTTGTGGAGCTCGTCTGGTCTGTCGACCCTTATAAGCTCGTCCTTCACATCTTCCTTGAGGCCACGCTCAAAGAGCCAGATGTAGGTGTCGTCGTCGAAGTCGAGGTGCGAGATGATTTGCTGGAATTCGGCGGCGTATACGCTAGCCGATCCAGTTTGTCGCAGTCGATTAAGTCGTCGTTCCGCGGTTCTCGCGGCATCGATATCCCCAAAGGTCTGTTCAAGTTTCTTTTTGAAGACCGTATAGGATACGAAGATTTCCTTGGTGACGTCTCCCTAATCCTTCTGGGGTTTCTCGTTGAATTCTCTGATGTACGGTTCAAACCATTCGAATGCTTGTCCGCGAAGATAGGTAGAAGCGTAGATGACTTTGTCGGCTTCCTCACCATAGTTAATGATGCGGAGTTGTATGTCCATCTGAGTCAAGAAGGCGCGAAGCTTAGTTCGCTCTCCTTGATAGAACTTAGGTTTGGGTGGTTTGACGGTGGTAACTCGCTGGCTCTGTGCTTGCACGAGTTGTTCCTGTAACTGGGAGATCATCTCCATAAGTTGCGCGTTGGTGGGTGGAGCAGGGTTCGACCTGCTCGAAACGTTGCTTGCGGTACTGTCGTTAGGTGCTATGATGACTATGCTTCACGGTTCAAAGACAGGGCGATTAATGTGTTACGCGGTGCCTGCTGGTTACTGTGAGTAGAGCTGCCCTAGGGTTATACTTGCCTAGTTCTACTGCGGATTCCCAGAGTATCTCGTAACCGTACCGTTGCTATGCTAAGCCTTATACGGACTCGGGTCCTATTGAGTATCTTACAGAACGTGCTAGTAGTACGCGCTAAGTAAGTCAGTCACTTAGTATAGGAAACTAAGTAAGCTCCCCTGCAACAAGTTAATAGTCAACTGGCTAGTCGGTTGACCAGTTCGTGAACAGACTTAGAGTATGGAGTTGGTTGGATGAGTCAACTGGTCAGTCACCGTGAACTAGTGAGTTCACTGACCAGTTGGTCAGCCGACTAGCGAGTTAGTATTAACTAGTGGGTTGGTTGGCTAGTTGATGGATATGGACTTAGGGAGTTGAGGAGGAGATTATATAATCGATGTTTACGTTTATAAGATCAGATATTTACCTACGCGTTATTAATAGAAGCCTTATATATATATATACGCTAGAGCCTAAGGATTATTTACCTTTCGGTTTACTTCTGTAGAGGAACCTTCTATCTAGGACTTTCTATAAGGATTCTGCCGCCTTACTATAGCCCCGCCTACGATAGATATTTAAGGTAGTACTTTATCTTCCTTATTTCTTCCTTTCCTTTTTCCCCTTTATCTTAGTTTTCTTCGTTATATAAGATATAGTTACTTTATCTTCCTTCTTCTATATATAGATTATCGTAGCTATACTATCTAGGAGTTATATAAAAACTAAGATCTTTAATATTCTTTTTATCTTTATACGATAGACTAGCGCTTACTATAAGTTATTAAGTCTTTATATATTACCTTTCCTTATTTTTCTCTTTTCCCTTTAAATAATCGATATAGTAGTACCTATTAATATAGTACGCCTAGATATTAATAAAGAACCCGGTTAGAGAGAGTCGCGTAGTATATATCGATAGAGTTTCTTAGCTAGACCTAACGATCTTCCCTATAAAGACTATAATATACGTTTTATTTAGGTTACGCCTTAGCTAGATAATCTACTCGAGTATTTACGCGATAGAAAACTTAGCCGTAAGAATTTTATCGACTTAGTACGCGACGAACCTAGGTTTATATTCGACTTAATACGGGATATATAGCGAGCGACGGTCGACTACTTATATTATCTCGATAACAAAGTAGAGGAATAATACGGATAGCTCGCTATAGCTACTGCTAAGATAGTTAAACTAATAAACTAGAAGATAATAAATAATAAGCTCCTCCGTAAGTCCGAGGAATATACCGATCTTAACGCTACTACTATTAAGCTTTTATAGATAATTCTCTAGTAGATCTATATCTCCGCTAATCGAATCGAAATAAGCTATCCTATACCTCCTACTAACTAACGCGAGTAGCGTAAAGCTACTATAGATACTACTATAATAGACTGTTCTAATTCTATATATACTATATATAAATTTAAGATTCCTAATCTATCTCTACTTACTAATAGAAAGGAAATAACTTAGGAAAACTAGAAGATCGTAATAAAGCGTAAGCTATATAGTATAGGACTAGATCTTACCGATCCCTTAGCTTTAGACTACGCTTACTCTCGATATAGATATATAGCCGAATAGAATATTAATTAATATATAATAGATATAGTCTCCGAGCGATACTAGAACTATAATAACCTCTTTAAGTACCTTAGATCTATCTTCGGCGACTATAATAAAGCTATACGCTCTAAATAGAATTTCTAGAACTTAGAGATATAGGATAGCTAGTTATTTAGCGACTTCCTATCTTAGTTCTCTTATCTCTTCGACGCTAGCGAACTTATTATAGGTAAGTACTAAAAGAAGTACGCTCTCTAGAACTACTTAACTCCCTAACTTCGGGAGATTATCGATATCGACTTAATCGATAAGCCCCTTATATCCTTTACCGAGTTTAGCTATAAGGTTAGAAAGAAGTATAACGCTCTTTACCTAAGTAGCTAGATCTCTACTTAGCGACGCGGCTAGACTACTAATAATAAAAGTACCGATCCGTCTAGAGTATCGAAGGCGCGTTTCTCTAAGAAGTCTAATAATAAAACTACTACTATAACTTCGGTATTATCTAGTACTATATCTCGCGAGATAAAGGTAATCCTAGTATCTAACGCTAAGAGTCTAGATAGGGAGACCCGTATCTACTATATAAAGAAAGGATAATACTTTAGATATAGATAGACCGGATATATATCTTCTAAGTATCCTAGTAAGGAATATACTACTTTAGTAGCTAAGATATTAGTATCTAACCCTAGTTATATAGAAGAGATCTCTAAATCCTTTAAGACGGGAAAAGCCTAAGCCTAGAATAAGTCTTTCTTCTAGATATAAGTATTACGAAAGTAGTTATATCTTTAGATTTATATATAGTATTAGGAAATAACGAATAATTTACTTTTCTAATTATACTTATATCTAATAGTTAGTTAACCTATATAACTACTTTACTTAATACTAGAGTAATATCCTATATAGCTATCGATAAAGGATTAGCTTATACTATCCGAGATATTTAGAATATTCTATAGATATCTTTATCCTAGTTAGTAAAGATAGAGGGATATAATAGGAAAGATAGAAATACTATTACCTATATAATCGTTCTAACTCTCTAGATCGACGGACGACGGTTTTATTAGATACTATTCCTTATTACTAGTTTAGGTTATTATTACGTAATTATCGGACGAGCCTAGTTTACGTATTATTAAGTATTATTAGATTATATAAATTACCGAATCTAGTAACCTACTAAAGTTACCCTAGTAGATAAGATAGCTAGGAAACTAACTCTAGAGATCCCCCTACCGGTATTAATACGTCTACGGGTTATAAATTAGAAATATTAGGTATATACTAAAGCCTATAACCGGGAAATAGAGCGACTAATCGAGTAGGAGCGGATCGATAGATCTCGGGTTACTTTAACTATATATAACGCCGAATATCGACTTCCTAAAGAGTTCTTAAGTAATTATATATAAGCTTATAAGGTATTTAGCTATATAATAGCCGAGGATAGAGAACCGGTAGTCCTAGCTTCTTAACCGTCTTATATAGAATTAAATACCGTATTTCTAAGTCCCGCTCGAGCTTTTATTAGTCGAGTAGAGTTTAAACGCTATATATAGATTAAGGATACCGAAGTATTTATTACTACTCTTAATAAGATCGATATAGTAATTATAGAACTAGCTCCTAGGAATAAAGTAGTTATAGAGAAGGAGTCTATTTAATAGTAAATTCCTAAGATATACTATAATCTATAGAAGTTCTTCTTATAATATAAGTCTAATATTCTACTACTATATTAGGGCCTATTCGACTATAAGATCCTTCTTAATAGAGAGTAGAGACTAGGCTATTATCCCCTCTATAAGATAAACTAGGAGAAGCTTAAAGTAGTTCGAAAGTATCTTTTCGAGAACTTATAAAAGGGCTTTATTATTCCGTTAAGGTACCCCTTTACTTCTCTAATCCTAATAGCGAAGAAGATAGATAGTAGACTACGCTTCTATATAGACTACCGACGACTAAACGCGGTTATAGAAAAAGATATCTATCTATTACTACTTATTAACGAGATAATAGACTAGTTAGCCCGCGTAAGACGCTTTACTAAACTCGATATATAATAGGAATTCTATTAACTTAGAATAGCGGTAGACTTAGAGGATCTAACGATATTTATAACTCGATATAGGACCTTTAAGTATAAGATTATACTATTTAGGTTATATAATAGACCTACCTCCTTCTAACGGTATATTAACTAGATACTTAGGAATCTCTTAGATATAGTTACTATTATATTTGTAGATAATATCCTAATCTTTAGTAAGGACCCCGAGAAGTACGTTAAATATATTCGGGCTATAATCTAACGATTATAAGCTATAGGACTTTAGGTAGTAATCTATAAGTATAAGTTCGACCGAACAGAGACTAAGTTCTTAGGTTTTATTATAGGAGTAGATAGAGTAAGGACTAACCCTAAGAAGATTAAGGCTATTTATAAGTAGTAAACTCCTATAATAGTTAAAGGAGTTTAGTCCTTTCTTAGGTTCTATAACTTCTATCGTTATTTTATTATTACCTATAGTTATATCGCGAAGCTACTCTACTAACTTATAAAAAAGGACTATATATTTATATAGAGTAAGGACTATATAAATATCTTCTAGTAACTAAAAACTACTCTTTCTTCGGCGTCTATCTTAGCGTACTACTATCCGGAGAGGGAGACAGGACTAGAAATAGATATCTTAAAGGATATTATCGCGGGAGTACTATCCTAGAAGTAGGATAGATTATAGTATCCTATTAGATTCTTCTCTAAGACTATATTACCTAGGAAGTAGAAGTAGGATATCTATAACCGGGAGATACTAATAATTATAGAGAGTATAGATAATTAGCGGGCTAAGCTATCAGGACTATAACGTAAAGAAAGATTCGAGGTCCTAACGGATTACCGGGTATTAGAGTACTTTATATTATCGAAACTTCTAAATACTTATTAAGCTTACTAGGGTTTAAAACTTTCCTAGTATTATTTTATTATCCGCTACTAACTAGGATAATAAAATACTCTTACGGATATATTATCCCGCTTCTAGGTTAAATAATAAGAGGAACTAGAGAGCTAGATATTACTACTAGAATCCTACTTAGACTTCTAG